GACCTATATGTAGATTTTATATTTAGTTTTTATTATATATAAAGATAAAACTTAGTTCTGTATTACATACACACATATATATTCATATGCATAAACAATACATATTAAGATATTTTGTGATTAAAAATATATAGAGTATAATGTCTATCACAAAATATCTTAATATAAAATTCTTTTTATTCAAAAATATTGATCTTGTATTATTTTTCATATATCTTATTAAGCATTTCTTACTAACATGGATTTATAAACATATAATTGGACAAATTGAGTGTTGCTTGTTGTTTTTATCTTATGAATTTGTATATGTTTTTCCTTTTAGCTTTTTTAGATAAAACAGACTTCTATGTATCTCTTCTTCACTCTTTTTGTCTCTAAATTTTTAATTTGAAGCTTCTTTTTAATATAAGACCAAAAATATATGTATATAGTATATATTTATAATTAAGAAAATATTCAGTACTTTATATACAAGTAAATGGAATGGCTTTTATATATACAGTATTATATATTATATTGGCTACTTATATATGATCTATTGCAATTATATGGCTTTTTTCACAAGACATTTTTTAAAGTTCTAAAATTTAAAGAGAATAAATCCAACTGAAACTTTTACTTGAAGCAAAATAACTTCCTAATAAGTTTTAGAAATGTAGCAGCCTGTACTTTTTGAAGAGAACACGGTAAATGTATATCATGAAAGCACTGGAGTTTTCTAGAAAGTTTTATACTCTAAGAAAAGCAGTCTGAATTGAATTTGCATTTGAAGAGCTTTTTTAAACAAGTGTGCTACTAAGAAAATATATTTTTTTATTCATATCATTGAATTGTAAAGTAAAATGAATTGAAATTGTGTTTATTTTATTCTGAAATGCTGGAAAATGATATTTACTGTGTATGCAGAAAATTATGTTGAAAATTTTATTTATAGTGCTCCCAAAACAGCTAATGATGTTTAGCTATTTTTCTAAGTGTAGAAAATAATCTACATTCATTTGTAGGTACATTTCCATATTTTATTTGCCCATAATTATGTATAGACATACATAATGGGGTGTGTTTGAATAGAAAAAAGAATTACTGTTTCAAACAAAGATCCAATTATCTGGATATTCTGCATATTGGATAACCCAAGGACCCAATTAATTCAGATTTGCATTACTGTGTCGAAACATTCATTTTAAACAATTTTTTCTAAAATATAGAAATAATAAAATTATTAATTAAGTATTTGAATAAAACAACAGTTCAGTCTTTATAATTAACTAATTCGGACAACCCCATAACTTGAAAATATCAAATTAAAAATATATACGAGTAGGATGAATTATGTTTTCTT